TAGAAGGAAGAAGAAAATATGCTGAAATACATTACAGACAGCAGAAAAGTCCTATGCAAATAGTTACAGTGAACACTGAAAAGACCAGTATGAATAAAGAAAAAACCATGGTGCTGACACACACAAGAAAGAAGCAACTGGCAAATCACATGATATCAATACGTCCCTTGAAAAACAGTTTAGCTGAGTACAGTCGCTGATGCCTGTAATCCCAGCACTTTGGGAGGCTGAGGATGGAGAACTGCTTAAGTTCACAAGTTCTACACCAGCCTGGGCAACATAGTGAGAACCCCATTTTTACAAAAGATTAAAAAAAATTAGCTGGGCATGGTGGCACGCACTTGTAGTCCCAACTACCAAGGAGGCTGAGAAAAGAAGATCACGTGAGCCTAAGAGGTCAAGCTGCAGTGAGCTGTGATCGTGCCACTGCATGCCAGTCTAAGCAGCTGAGCAAGACCCTGTCTCAAAAACAAACAGCTTACCAAAAATGACACAAAATGAAAGGAAATATTTGTTCTAAATATTGAATTTATTATCAAAAACTTTTCCACAACGAAAACTCTAGGTTCAGAATAATAAGAGACTAGTATTTGAAATTAAACTGTAATATATATAAATTCTTGCTGGTCATCCTAATAATTTATGATACAATCAAATTTAGTTTGTGAGGATACACTGACAAGCCAGATTTTTAAATGTGAAATAAATCAAAGTGTTAACGACAATGTTTAGAGAACAAATTGACACCCTACCCTTGCAACCAAAATGGTTCAATACCTATATAATTTGCCATATACTCAAATAAAGAGGAGACTCTGGCAAGCACTTAATAGGGTAGAATTAGCTATAATAGTGAAATAGCTTAACAGATCATTTCCTACCCTCAATGCTTTTGAATTAGGGCCACAATACAAAATACAATTAAAGATGCTATTTAAGAGCTCTCATGGATTACAGGGTTCTTAGCTTTAGGAAACCTTTTTTTTCTCTCTCCCATCTCTGATTAAGTAATAAAATGTGCCACACTGACTTCATGTAGTTAAGATAAAATTTGAGGTTTAGAAGTTTGGTGTTATTCCTAATTTGATAGTGGATAAAGACTGAGAGAGAATAAAGACCCTCTTCCCTTTCAAGGAGTCACTTTATTTCTACTTTTCACAGATGCATCAACTAATCTCAAATCTATTTATTTACTTAAAATACAGGGGAGGAAAAACTAGCCACTACATTTTAGCAGCAAAAATCAATTATCCTTTATTAAGCCCTTAGATATCTTCATCAAACATTTTATTTTATGACTCAATTTGCTCTAGAATTGAATTATAATAGTGACAGGTTTTGTAAATTCAGCAAAAGAATACTCAGTCATTACTCATGTAGAGTTCGTTTATCAAGCATTTTCTGAGTATTGAATGTGTCATGAACTGTGGAAACAAAAATAAGGTATCACTAAGTAGTTCCAAAACTACGTCCAACAATGACCTATCACAGAGCCTAAAAAGACCTTGCAATTCCATGAAACAGTTTCAATTTGGCCTTTAGCATTTAGATTGAATTAAATAACCTGAAGAAATATATATTTAGTAGAAAACTTCTCAGATAATTTCTAACTAAATTTTAAAAGCAGATGGCAAAAAGTATGCACTTTAAAAAATGAAATAGAATTCCGAGATGCTGTAAACCTTCAATCTAATCATTTTAGAAAACATACAATGACAAATTTCTTTTTGTCTCCTAGATTCTAGACAAAATCATATATGCAAACAGGACATGTACATTTCTGACATAAAAAATAAATATTTACTATAACTGGAAACATATTTACCAATTGTGATACACATACATGTATTATGTGTTACTAAGTAAGACTACTGTTCTAACATTTCATATGAAAAGAACCTTACTATCACTCAACAGTTATTCATAAGGTACCTAATGAAGCACAGTATGATTGTGATCACGTCCAACAGGGAGAAAACCAAGGCACAGAAACGCTAATTTGCTCAAGTCCCCAGAAAAACAGGCAAAGCAGAAAATAAGAGTCGAAACCTACTAATTACAGTTTACTGACAAATTGCATGCAATTCTTCAATGATATAAAAAAAAATTATACATGTAAATTCACAAATAAACATGTACAAATAACTTAAAAAGCAAGGAAAATTAAGAAGGAATTTTCTATATGCCTGAATTACATAGAGAAGTGTGGTTTCAAAAATCAAAACTGCTGAAGAGCATGTTCTAGTGAGATGTAAATATTAGTTTAAAAGAACTTGACAAAGTAAACACAGTAAATTAAACAAAAGATTGTGACCCATGAAGTTTAATTTTAAAAGAGAACCTAACAGACATACATATATCTCTGAGTAAGCACTGAAATATATCTTTAGAGAAAAAAAATTCTTATTTAAAATATCTTATTTTAAAGTTTAAAAAAATAGCATGTATAGATAATATTTAAGATGTAATAAAAAAGTGTAGACTTTTGGGGGGTGATTTTCAAACAGTAACAGTGCCAATTTCAAAATATGAGATGGCCAGGGAAAATGGCAGATACTGGCTTATGAGATTGCTTTTATTAAACATAGGAAATTTTATATAAAATTCTTTAACCCAAGAAGAATAGTGCTTAAACAATGTATTTTTTTTAAAGATCACATTATGTCCAAAAATATTTTATGACATTGCTTTATATCGAGTTTACCTTGTCCTAAAAAATATTAAAATATAGTATCAATAAAACATTTAATTTCCTCTACACTACCTCTTTAAAACTTTGCAGAAAATTTATGATGCTATCTTCTTTATAAAACAAAACCAAGGAAGAGGACTTTGTATATCCATTATTTCGGAGTAATGAAAATATCTTTACCTTACAGAAGACTTTCATAAAATTCCAGACATTGGCATAGTGTAATAATTCAATTAGAAATAAACATTTTATAAAAGAAACTAAAGAAATAAATAATGGAGTAATACTAATCAAATATCTCATCAAAATTAGAAGGTACTTTTTCTATTAAACAACTAAAATATGACAGGCTGAAAATCTATCATAAACTGGTTTTTAAAATAAAAATTATATTTTTCAGGTTCCTAATTTCAAACATATGACAAAAGCACAACAAAAAAACCTTACAAAAACTCACAGGTCCTCCATCAAAAAGGCCTCAATCAATCTTGTATTTTAAAAAAAAATCAGTAAGGTACAGTAGATACTTACAAAGATTCAAATAATTAATAAGAAGATCACAAGCTCTCTAAGTTTTTAACTACTATTTCAAATTAATCATAGTCCTCAACTCCATCCTCAACCCCAAGGGAATTTTCCTGAATTAAACTGTTCATTATGTAAGATTGTTATTTTTTTTATTTGTGTTGCTTCATTTACTCCATTATGTTATGCTTATGCCTGGGATTTCATTTCTGACATACTACAAAAATCATACTGCAGTCGGAATTATTCATGTGTTTCTCCTGAACTTGGAACTACTTACTACTTTATCCTAAATTTTAGTAAACTTAACCTTCAGGATAGCTCCCAAGACATTCTACATGAACTGCCTCAAAAACATTAGCCAATTACTATAAACTTTCTTAACTTTGTTGAAGGACTTTGTCTTTACTTTATCTTTCTCATTGGTGGTATAAAATTTAAGGCTTCATGCCTTTCTTAGAGAAATTAAGACAAATTATATTCTTTTTTTTTTTTTTTTTTTTTTTGAGACGGAGTTTCGCTCTTGTTACCCAGGCTGGAGTGCAATGGCACGATCTCGGCTCACCACAACCTCTGCCTCCTGGGCTCAGGCAATTCTCCTGCCTCAGCCTCCTAAGTAGCTGGGATTACAGGCACGCGCCACCACGCCCAGCTAGTTTTTTGTATTTTTAGTAGAGACGGGGTTTCACCATGTTGACCAGGATGGTCTTGATCTCTCGACCTCGTGATCTACCCGCCTCGGCCTCCCAAAGTGCTGGGATTACAGGCTTGAGCCACCGCGCCCGGCTGACAAATTATATTCTTAATGACAGAAATAGAGTACATCATTTGGAAATAAATATTTAAAAACATAACACTAACATATTTGTTTTATCAATACGTTTATTCTTTTTGAACTGTTTGATTTCTGTGTCCTCAGTTAATTTAACAGGGCTTTACCAGAAGACAATTTTTTAAAGAACTCAGAACGGGTTCCCTTACAAAGTACCTATAAGAACTCTAAGAACCATTGTGCCACTGTCCTTTGAAAGTCTGATGCCTCTTTTAAATTAGCTCTCTTTTTGTTCACCTACTCACTCTCCCATCTCACCCAGAGCTTTGATCAATTTCTTCATTTCAGCTAAAATTAGCAGTCTCTGGACCTCTGGGAAGAGCCAATGTGCAGCATCAGCTAAGACTCCCTGATTAGCATTATGTCTGATTTAAAAAAAAAAAAAGTCACAAAACGAAACAAAGAAACAAAGACAAAACAAAAAATAAAATCTACCTAGGCCATCTTTTCACCTTTCTTTATTTCGTCAGGGAGAAGCATTTAACACATTTGTTTTAATAAGCAATAAGAAAGTGCTAATTAAATTCTTGTCAATAAAAAGTCTGTCTTCTCACCATTGCTTATAAATTTCAACATTTAGAATATGCTAACAGAGCTTAGTAACTTCATTGTTTTGACATAAAATATAATAATCTTAGTACAAAGTGTTTAGATCAAATTACTTTTATGGCCTCTAAACAGAGACCATTGTCAAGTTCTCTTGTCAAGAGAAAAATAATTTCCTGTTAAAAATTCAGATTATCAGTCTTATTTACATCTAAATCCAGAGTATAACCATGCGTGGGAGGTTAATAAGTGGATGAAATCTGTTTCTGAAGTACTGTTTCCACTAAACAATATTTTAAGAAAGGTCCTACCCTGCAATTTTTTTTTTTACATTTTTCTGTGATGAGAAAATAATAAACATGGAACCTTAATCCCCTAAAGACAAGGTTTTAGCATCCAACTTACCTGACAAGATTTTCATTGTCTCCAGTTCCCTTGCAAGTTGCACATTCAGTTCTTAAATCTTCAGCCTTGGGCTTCTTTTGCAGCACAGACTGTCTTTGCCTTCTCTCTCTAGGAACTCTTTCCTGCCATACAACGGATAATAAAATAAAACACAACAAAACAAAATAAGGATATGAGGGAAACAATTTTAAGAGAGAAAATTTCTCAAAGTTAAGACTGGGTAAAAGTGCTTAACTTATTCCAACCTCATGTTTTTCTTCCTCAGGAACGAAGCTTCGTTTTCGTCCTCTGGTTCTCTGGAAAAAAAAAATCCACACAATATCTAATGTTTAATTAATGATAAAAATAAATTTCCTATGTTAAATGCTATTGCTTAAGTTAGGTACTTGAAAAATCAGCTATTGCTAATTAATACTATATTGGACCACTGCATTTTGTTACCATTTATGCCATAGGAAATAAAAAGTAAAAGATTAAATGTACTTTATTGTACTTTACTTTTAAATAAACATGTATCTGATAGAAAAAATGAACTCTACAAAATTATTTTAAAGGATTTTCTCAACATTTCATAATTGTCCATAATTATGATTTACTCAGAACTTAAGTTTTCAAAACTTATCACATATGACTTCTATAGATGAAATGCTAAACCTGGGATCATACTACATATATTGTTTGCCCACATGTATGCATGTGCATTCATGTTTATGTAAAGGAATAATTTTTAAGCAGCCAAAAAGAGCAGAAGGAAAAGGTAGGTCTCACATATCCAAAGTCCTAGTTAACGTAAAACTAATTAAAATACCATATAAAATGACATTTTAAACTAATTCAGCTATAATTCACATCCTGTATTTCAGAATACATTTACCATTTGAAAGAACACATACAAATGTTGAAAAGAACTGTGACTCCATTAGTATTTGCAGCCAATATGTTAGAAATCTCCACCAATCACAGCACAGTCTCTGGTAGATTCTGTAATTCCCATACGTAATTCCCACTGTAGAGACTGGAAGAGAAAGCAGGCACTGCTCCCAAAAATTACTTGGACAGCTGAGATCAAGGAACATTCCCAAGCTAGAGTAGGTACCAAGTAATTCTAAACAGAATACAGTATAAATATATTAATGTTTTCTTACATGACTGTAATTTCAATTCTTCATGATACCAAGCCCACTGTTATTTAAAACCATGGCTAACTGCATACCATTGAATCTGTCCCTAGATAACCAAAAGTCAACTAGTTATTCAAAACAAATAAATTGATGGTCTATTTAAATTTATATTGCCAGTGTGTTTTAATTATATTATGGAAGTAATTAGGATGAAAAATGAAGACTATATCCAGGAAACGTCTTTAAATGCAGACCTACATTTATAATTCTTACTTCCAAAGAACAATATTGAGACTTACTCCTCTAAATATCAATCATGATCCATGAGCACTGGCATCCCCTGAGTGCCTACTAGAAATGCAGAATCTCCGGCTTACTCTGACACATGAATTATAATCTGTCTTTTAACAAGAATCCTAAGTAGGTCACATACACATAAGTTTAAGGACATCAGTGTAGAAAGGTCCTTAACAACACTTATTCAAGTTCTAACGGAAAACTTACGGCTAGTACTTTCTTTTTTTTTTCCTTCTGTGCCTAATGCTTTATCTTCTGTCCCCTTAAAAAAATTCATCCCCAAATTGGTAAGGACTGTATCTAATTCATCTTTCTACATCTAATTAAACTTAACACAATGCTTATGACATAAAGACTCAATTAACTTGTTTTAATAAAATAAGTGGTTAAATCAAAACTAATAAATGGTGACACTATGTAATACAAATTAAAAGATCTGACTGATGGGACAGGCACCATGACTCATGACCATAATCTCAACACTTAGAGAGGCTAGGGTGGGAGGATTGCTTGAACTTAGAAGTTTAAGACCAGTCTGGACAACACAGTGAGACCTCATCTCTACTAAAAATAAAAATTTAAAAATCAGTTAGGCATGGTTGTGAGTGTTTATAGCCCAGCTACTCAGGAGGCTGTGGTGGGAAGGTAACTTGAGCCCAGGAGATCTAGGCTACAGTGAGCCATGATAGAGCCACTGCATTCCAAGCCTGGGCAACAGAATGAGACTTTGACTCAAAAAATAAAAATTTGAAAAAAGCTTAAATTATTTTTCTCTAACTTGGTAATCTATTATCTAATTTGCATAATGTATATTTACAAGGCTTTTTACTTTTTTTTTAGACAGAATCTCCCAGTCACTCAGTATTTAAAATTTCATAACTTATCGTGTATGACTTCTAGAGCTGAAATGCTAAACCTGGGATTATACTACATATGTTGTTTGCCCACATGTATGCATGTGCATTCATGTTTATGTAAAGGAATAATTTTTAAGCAGCCAAAAAGAGCACAAGGAAAAGGTCCCACAATCCGAAGTCCTAGTTAACATAAAACTAATTAAAATGCCATCTAAAATGACATTTCAAACTCATTTAGCTAAAATTCACATCCTATACTTCAGAATACATTTATCGTCAGACAGAATACATACAAATGTTTAAAAGAACTATAACTACATTAGTATTTGCAGCCTCCGAGGTTCAAGTGATTATCATACCTCAGCCTCCCAAGTAGCTGGGATTACAGGTGTGCACCAACATCCCTGGCTAATCTTTGCATTTTGACTAGAGAAAGGTTTTTGCCATGTTGGCAAGGCTGATCTCAAACTCTTGACTTAAAGCAATCTGCCCGCCTTGGCCTCCCAAAGTGCTGGGATTACAGGCATGAACCACCGCATCTGGCCTACAGGGCATTTCAATAAGATACTACAAATTAGTAAGCAATATCAAGTGGAAAATATTCAAATTACTCATTTGAGTTCCATAAACTTCTAAACAATGTGCAAAAGACTTCCATACATTTCCACATTTTTCTTCATTCAACTCATCTTTTAGGTAATTAACTAGCAAATGTTTCAACTAGTTTTGAATTAATTTTTCAAGTATATGTGTTAATACTGCAAGTTCATGTTTTTAATTCTTTTAAAGGTGTTTAATTATTTACCATTTTGATAATAATTTAAATCTTCAAACATTTGTTATGACTCCATCAACTGAAACTCTCTTCACACCCAGAGAGCAATTAACATCACATGGTATAACGCCAATTAGTGATTCAATCACACAATGGTATGGCTGCATTTCTCTATATTTATAAATTTCTTCTCATGTATTAGGTATATTTGTAATTATCTAAAATAGTCACTTTAAATTTAGTACATTTATTACCAAACAGTAATTGCTGATGTATTCATGTAATAATTTTGAATAACACAAGACACATAAACAATGTCCATCTATTAAAACAGGCTTGTTAAAAAAAAAAACAAAAAAACAAGCTTGTTATAAAAATATAAAATAGTATCATCTTAGAGCTCTGAAAAAGCAATCCAGAAAAATGACTTGCTGATAATCACACAGCTAGTAAATTTCTGAGGTAAACCTTTACCTTAAACTCAATTATCTCAACTTCTGTGACTTTTCTTGCATGGCTAATCCACGATTAATAATTTAATCCCAAATAAAGATGAGCACAATCATTAAGAATGCAGATCTCTTACTGCACTTGAATATACTTAAACTCAACTGTAACACTGTGATGCCCAATGAAGATTTCTTACATTTCAAATAATGTTGGAGAATTATATATACCCAATAAAGAAGAAACTCAAACTGACACCACAGTCTCCCTAATTTGGTAGCTCCATACTACATACTAACTTAATTCATTACCAAAGTAATCACAGCACTCTTATTTAGCATTTATCACATTACTAGCATTTCCAAAGAAAAAAATAAAAGAGAATTTGATCCAACTGTAACTTGATACAAAATATCAAGTCCTCTAACCAAGAAAATGTTGAAAGCTATGGGCTTTTTTTTTCTTTGTTTTAATGAAGTGGCAGCAACTATAACTATGAAAATTCATAACTGCCTAATATTACAACAGACAAGATATTTTAAAAGTAGTGTCCTTGATTAAATCCCAAAACATAAGCAGAGCTTAAAAAAGGAAGAAATGGTACAAAAAAGCAAGAAGAAAAACAAAAAACAAGTTTAGCCCCTCTGATAAATTTCGGTTATCCAAGAGCTTGTCCCATCTCAGATAAATAGAAGTATACATAACTGGGTGGTCTTTTTATAATATATTTTGAGGCTGAAACTACTTTAGCAACAATAAAACAGTGGGGTGAAAATAATAAGTGGAAGAAGTAAGAATTTTACTTTTCAAGTATGTGCAACACAGATACGTTACTTGGAAATTCCACATGATTAAGTAAGGGTACAATTCCAAACCGTGATTCATTTTGACAGTAGTTAAGCTATTAGAAGTAAATGAAAGTTTAAAACTCATTCCACATTTTGACACCTTCCAATTTTTTTGTTTTGTTATTTTTTTAAGAACTTGATTTGCCTAGAGACAATTACAACCTGAGCTGCTCACATCACTTTGCTCTTAATCTGTCTATGATAAATGTACTTGAAAAGAGGTGATAAAAACATCCACAGAAGAGACTGGCATGGTATTAGAGACAATGTATTTAAACTGAAAAGGAGTAAAATTATCTTATCTAGCTACCAATTTTTAAATAGTTTATTCAGGCCAGTCACAGTGGCTCTGGCCTCTAATCCCAGCACTTTGGAAGGCCAAGGTGGGCGGATCACCTGAGGTCAGGAGTTTGAAACCAGCGTGGCCAACAGCCTCTTCATTTTTAGTAGAGACAAGGTTAGCAGAGAAACCTCACCTCTACTAAAAACAAAAAACTTAGCCGGGTGTGGGCGTGGTAGCGCATGCCTGTAATCCCAGCTACCTAGGAGGCTGAGGCATGAGAATCACTGGAACCTCGGAGGCAGAGGTTGCCGTGAGCCAAGATCATGCCACAGCACTCCAGCCTGCGTGACAGAGTGAGACTCCATCTCAAAAATAAAAATAAAAATAAATAAAGTTTATTAATCTAAAACACATAATTAAATATTTCTCTAACTTCTCTCTCATTTGGACTAAAAAACATGTAATGTATTTTAATTATTCTTTAAAGATGAGGTTATTTTAATTTGCAATTAAGTCAAATGCATAATTCATTGGGCAAATGAACTAAATTTAAAGTACCTTAACATCTTTGATATCACTAAACTATGCTTCATATATTCACTTGTGCCCATGTTACTAAATTTAACACTTAGGTTTTTGTTGACAAATCAACATTTATACAAATAATA